TCACTGGTATCTGACTCTTGTTGTTTGCTCCTGGTAATCTGCCGTCTGTGTTGTTCTCCTGGTATCCGTCGTGTTGTTCTCCTGGGTATCTGACGTCTGTGTTGTTCTTCCTGGTATCCTGACGTCTGTGTTGTTCTCCCTGGTCTCTGACGTTGTGTTTTTCTCCTGGTATCTGACGTCCTGTGTTGTTCTCCTGGGTATCTGCCCGTCTGTTTGTTCTCCTGTATCTGACGTCTGTGCTTGTCTCCTGTATCTGACGTCTGTGTTGCTTCTCCTGGTATCTGACGTCTGTGTTGGTTCTCGTGGTTCTGACGTCTTGTGTTTTCTCCTGGGTATTGACGTCTGTGTTGTTCTCCTGGTATCTGACGTCTGTGTTGTTCTCCTGGTATCTGACGTCTGTGTTGTTCTCCTGGTATCTGACGTCTGTGTTGTTCTCCTGGTATCTGACGTCTGTGTTGTTCTCCTGGTATCTGACGTCTGTGTTGTCTCCTGTTCGTTGTGTTGTTCTCCTGGTATCTGACGTCTGTGTTGTTTCTCCTGGTATCTGACGTCTGTGTTTGTTCTCTCTGGTATCCTGACGTCTGTGTTGTCTCCTGGTCTGACGTCGTGTTGTTCTCCTGGTATCTGACGTCTGTGTGTTCTCCTGGTATCTGACGTCCTGTGTTTGTTCTCCTGGTATCTCCTCCGGTATCTGACGTCTGTTTGTTCTCCTGGTATCTGACGTCTGTGTTGTTCTTGGTTCTGACGTCTGTTCTCCTGGTATCTGACGTCTGTGTTGTTCTCCTGGTATCTGACGTCTGTGTTGTTCTCCTGGTATCTGACGTCTGTGTTGTTCTCCTGGTATCTGACGTCTGTGTTTGTTCTTCCTGGTATCTGACGTCTGTGTTGCTTCTCCTGGTATCTACGTCTGTGTGTTCTTGGTATCTGACGTCTTGGTATCTGACGTCTGTGTTGTTCTCCTGGTATCTGACGTCTGTGTTGTTCTCCTGGTATCTGACGTCTGTGTTGTTCTCCCTGGTATCCTGACGTCTGTGTTGTTCTCCTGGTATCTGACGCTGTGTTGTTCTCCTGGTATCTGACGTCTGTGTTGTTCTCCTGGTATCTGACGTCTGTGTTGTTCTCCTGGTATCTGCCGTCTGTGTTGTTCTCCTGGTATCTGACGTCTGTGTTGTTCTCCTGGTATTGACGCTGTGTTGTTCTCTGGATCTGACGTCTGTGTTTGTCTCCTGGTATCTGATCCACGCTGGTGTTGTTCTCCTGGTGCTGTGTTGTTCCCTCCTGTAAATTGACGTCTGTGTTGTTCTCCTGGTAATTGACGTCTGTGTTGTTCTCCTGGTATCTGATCTCGGTATCTGACGTCTGTGTTGTTCTCCTGGTAATTGACGTCTGTGTTGTTCTCCTGGTAATTGACGTCTGTGTTGTTCTCCTGGTATCTGACGTCTGTGTTGTTCTCCTGGTAAATTGACGTATCTGTTGTGTTGTTCTATTTGTCCGTCAATTGCATCTTTTCCTTGACCTTTCAATCATGGAATGAGTTACACGCTGTCCAAATGCCATGCAATTGACCTTTTTTTTTTGCTGCACGTTTAACAATCCCTCGCTGGCTCGTTCTCCTTGCACGGCCACGCCTCGGTTCCTCGCGTGGACGGCGCGTGGTGTCTGCCCCGCCGGGTGCCGCGTGGACTCGTGGGATCCTGCTTTCACACGGCGGTCGGGCGGCGGGCGGGGCGGGGTCGGGGCGGTCGGGGCGGTCGGGTCGGCGGTCGGACACCGGCGGGCGGGACGGGCAGCGGCGGGCGGGGCGGGCGGGTTAGGGCAGCGGCGGGGCGGGTTGGGGCAGCGGCGGTCGGGGCGGTCGGGTCGGCGGTCGGGGCGGGATAGCGACGGGCGGGTTGGGGCAGCAGCGGTCGGGGCGGTCGGGCGGTCGGCGGTCGGGCGGGGTAGCGGCGGTCGGGGCGGGGCGGGTTGGGTTGGGGGTGAGTGGTGGTGGTGGTGGTGGTGAGGGGTTATTATCATCTTTTTTGGTAATGATGATGTTAATGATAATGGTATTATAAGTAGTACTAGTGTCAGTTTAGTAATGATATTATTGTTTGAATTATTATTAATGATGATTATGATAATAGCATCAGTGATGATGATGATAATAATAAAAAAAGAAAAAAATCCATAATGATAATGATAGTAGTATTATAATGACAATAATGATACTGATAGTAATCGTGATGATGATAATAATGATAGTAGCAGTAATGATCCCGAGACTGATTGTCCTCATCATGATTACCATCCCTTGTGGCAGCAGCCGTAGAGGGACTCGCTCTCTCGTGCCTCTGTCTCAGCGTTCGTGTGACAATGCTTTCGGTTAACTACTTTTTTTCAATGAATTATGCAATGGCGGTTAACTTTTTTTCAAATGAATTATGCAATGGCGTCAATGAATTATGCATGCCTGTGGTCGCACGTCTTCCGGGGCCGGAGCACACCTGGCTTAGGTGGG